TCTCCCCATGTGAGGCAAGGAATGTCTGCCTCACTCGATAAACAATGCAACCGGTACCTAGCACCGGTTGGCGTTCGCCGTTCGAACCTGAGGCGTGTTGCCTCAAGTTTCTTGAGCCACCCTTCTCGTCCAAAATTCTTTACGTTTTGGACGAACGCGTTCCACGCAGCCAAAAGCGAGGCTTTGTCACGCTTTTGGTTGCTGTTGTACCATCGATGTCTAAGAAAGACATCGAGATAAAAATCTTCTTCAGCGCGAAAGTTCTTCGCGCTGGGACTCAAGCCGTGAAGCTCGGTTGCATCGAATAAGGGTATTCGATGGTGTTGGCCTGTCTCGTGAGACAGGCTATTGATGAGTTGTTCGGGCAAACGCCACGGCTTTAACTCATCACGCTTCACAGTGGTACCCTTGTCGGTACCACGGCTCCCAGATTGACGACGGCTCGCGCCATCGTCAATACGATCGTGCGAAGAGGCACGAGCCGGCGGTGGTAAGGAATAATATTCCTCACCACCCTGATCATCGTCATCACTGCCGAACAGACTGTGATGCAAATCACGAGTCCGTTCGTTCGGCAGTGGCCTTGGCGAATAATGAGGCGTCGCCGGTGAGCGAGACGCCTCTGGAGCATTGCCCGAGTCAGACACGTCTGACTCGCCAGAGTAGATGACCTCTACATCAGGGTCATCGTGCGCACCCGGTGTGATACCGCGTGCACCTGCAGCACCTGTTGCTGCAGGCGAAGAAGGGGCGGCATACGACGAAGCGTCTGCCGCAGAGGCTTGCACAGCACCAGGCTGTGTGGGTCTTGAGTCACCTCGCATAGACATGTTAACTATGCGAGGTCAAGCAGAAAGTGAATGGAACGGACCCAAAAAGTGCCCCCTGTCCCAATGGTGGCCAACGGGTGGCCTCCATGTTTTCGATAGTCACACGGTGACTATCAGTTAAGGGGGGTGATGTAACGGGGCAGCCCGTTACATGAAATTGTCACTTTAAGGAAAGTGACAATAAAGAATATAAAGATGGATATTCTTTAAAACAATATCACCAAAGTGGTGATATTGAAGGGTCGACCAAAGGGTCTGTTCATTGGTTGATATCGTGATGATATCAACCCACCAATCGCCGCAAGACGCGCGCAATGAGTGGTGACGAGACGTCACCATACATGCAGTTATATTAGTATAATTGAATTAAGTCAAACGAAGAGACAGTAGTTTAGAGACTTAATTTATTAATATAACAGTTCTACTTTTACCCTACCTACGCTTCCTCGCTTGCCACGTGTACGTCTGTCGGGGAACTCAAAACCCTTGCGTTAAGTTACGCAAGGGTGTGCCCCGTTACACAACTAGCCTAAATGATTGAACTGTTGAGACCTTTCTCCCTCCAATCACTTCAATTAATTTCTAGCTCATGTTCTTGCTCTCCATCTTTACTGTCATCTTGCACTTATATTTGCTCTTTTTCTTGTTCTTGGTCTTGTTCTTGGTCTTGGTCTTGGTCTTGGTATTGGTATTGGTCTTGTTCTTGGTCTTGTTCTTGGTCTTGTTTTGCTCTTTGAAATAGTCTTGCTCTTCTTGTCCTTTCTTAATAAGTCAAGGATGGACACTCTGCCATAGATAATATGGCAGGTACCTCACAATCATGCAATACGCCAGAAGAGACTGATGGTATTCGGTGGCACTAGCAATTTCATTGCAACGGACTGATTGCGCCAATCTGTCAAACTTGTCAGGTAGCTTTAGTGAAAAACGCCGTTATTCTTACCAAAAATGTCCATCATGTGTAGCAGTACCATATTCAGAAGCGTCGTGAGTTACCGCAATAAGAAACCAAGAAATTGATACGCACCGCAATACCCATGTCAGCACACGAGACCTCAAGTTTGCGCTTGTATTCCGCAATACTTCTAGTCAGGTCATAGACGTAGAAAGGGCATCAATAATCGCCCAACACAATCAGTACAGAGCTGGTGTAGTGTGGTGTGATTGTGAAATGTGCTGTGGTGGTGTAGTGTGGTGTGGAGGTGCAGTGAGGTGTGCTAGTTATGTGTACTGTAATGGTGGCAGTGTGGTGTGGCGGAAGTTGTTAAAAGTGTGGTGTGGTTGAGCTTGCTAAAAGTGTGGTGGAAAAATGAAAAAGTGTGGTGGATTAAGCAATTTGGTACAGATATCATCATACTTTCTCGTCAATTGGTCCCGACTTAAGGATCATATACAATCGTGTATGATGACGTCTACCAACAACCCATTGCGCGCGTCTAGCAGCGATTGGTGGGTTGATATCATCACGATATCAACCCATGAGTAGACCCTTCGGTCATCCCAACAACATCATCATGCTCTGTGATTTTGTTGGAAGAATATCCAACGTAATATTATTTATTGACATTTTATCCTCAATGACAATATCATGTAACGGGCTGCCCGTTACATCCCGCCCATGTACAAAAGCAAATATTAGTCTAAAGAGTAAAGCTATGGGTGAGTGTGCGTACAGCGAAAGTCGTACTTTTCGGCAGCTTCTTTGTACCCATCTGGTTGTGGTTGTAAAACAAGCATACGCACGTTCTCGACTCAAAATCCGTTTTTTTGTTGACCATACATAATAAGCATAATCTTGATGCAATATGATCACAAATATCTCGCTTCAATGGGCATCTTGTCGTCAATCCGACCAATTGTAGTAGCCGTTAACAATATTGAACGTGCCTTGTATGTCCTTGTATGTCATACGGACTCTTGCGAAAGAAGTCTTGTAAACAACTCAGTTCCCTGTCTTGAGATATCTCAGCTTATGACATAGCGTGCCAAGCCCACAAGTATAAGCTGTAGCGAATGGGCGCATGTATTTTACCATCCTATTCTCCATGTGTCAGACTTCCTTGTAGATATGAAGCCCTGCAGAAACATCACCAGCATTTAGCAGCTCAACAAGCAGCAGCTTCCATAGCAATGGTCAAAATAGGAAAGTGGTGCAATCTGTGAAAGCGCTAGGCACGCAAATTTTGCAAGGATGGAACGACGCTATCGAACGAGCTGATGCGCGCAGAGTTCCTTTGCCATCCGTATCCCCTCTTTACTCGCAACATCTGTCCACGCTCGCTGACAACATGCATTAGCCGATAAATTGTCGCTACGTGATTGAAATCTCTGCACCCGCATGCATCGCCGTCTCTACTTCCCTGTTTGACAACTTGGATATGAGAGCCTAGCGCGCGGCGGAAACGTACTTTTCATAGACAACCGCGACTTCTTCGAGGCATAGCGGGCAGGCTGTGGTCAAACAAATCGCTTATAGAGAATCTAGAACTTAGCAGATATAGCTGTGGTGTGAGGTAGCTCTCATTCAAGACTTATAGTTCACCTACTGAAGAGCAACGGATAAGCAAAAGCAAGACAACGTTGACATATATGATGCTTCCTTCGGCAAATGTATGCGTGAAAAGAAAGGTAAGAAGCGAGAAGACCCTCTCTTCGCTTGGTGCAGTGAGAGCATTTATCTTTCTCCTCATCATCAATCAATTGCGCATCGCTAGTCGCATTTTAGTGGTGGTGGTGGTGGTGCGTTGTTGTTGTACAGGCAACACCAGCCGTTGTCTGTCTTTCCTCTCACGCTTATCGTCCACGCATCAACTGCTTTAACCAGGTTAAATCCTTGTACAACAACTACGGCAAAACTCTTCGTATCACACCTCACCACGCACAACCCACCCCCCGCCGCCAGCTCCCACTATCGATAACGGACACGTATATGTCCTATACCTTGCATCAGTCTTCTCTTTGGAATGGATTATTGGTACTAAGGAGTGAACTCGAGATCATGCTCCGCTATCTTCGTGTTGCAGTGGTGGCGATACGCCCGCATCGCACTCAGATGCAAGGACAAAGGTAGACTAGGTCCGTTAAAATGCTTACGTGGATTCTAAGAAATTTAAAGCCAATGTGTAGAATGCTGAGACGACACGTTGACTGCATGCTCCACAATATTGAAAGACGCAGCGCTAAGATCAAAAGCTACGAGAACATCGACGCAATTGATTGTTATGCAGATGGAAACACGAAAGTGTCATCTGAAAAATATCATCGCTATAACCATTTTGACCTTGCATCTTATACATCCGAAATCGGCGAGAGATCGGCCTTATTTTACTGAATAGAGTCGATTCATCGCCAAGACAGAACTAGAACAAGTCTTTCGTGCTCAAGCTGGTCAATTGTCTTGTAAGTCGGAGCGACAGTTGTGCCTCGGAACTTGTTCAATGGCGTTGTCGTCTCGATCATTGACTGAATTGATCTGTCGATTATTGAGTCGACTTCTGACCGACGTCAGTAGTTGCTTCATTGTTGCCCGTTCCAATTTCTTCGACAACATTTGCCAGTAGGAGATCTTTGTCGCTGCCAGTGAAGCTGTGGATCATCAACAGGTCAAGATACAATACTCGGTCGCTTCTTGACAGACTAGAGAGGAGATGCAATTAGATGGTACGAGGTCGATCTTCACGATAAAGCTGCAACGAGGCATCAGTACCTGTGTATAGTCAGTATTGCATCGTGAAATAGAAGAACAAGCTGTGGGGAATCTCGAGTGCAGCTTCATGCTGAAACAACGACATGGGACCACTAAATGCCGCACAACATTGTCGCAAGCACTGCAGATAGCCAACACAGTGTACTCGACGCAATGAATCGGACATCTTTTATTGTGCGAGCGTTTGTACCTTTGTGCGAGGACAAGTGGTTGCACGAATGGAGACCCATTGCAAGCCATGAAATGAACGCAGGGAGCTAAGAATGACCCAAAGCCGACGTCTTATGTACCACAGCACCCCTGTCACACCGAAACTCGACGTTACACGACCACAACGCGACAAAACTACCCATTCAACTCTCATTTACTGCAGCTTAGAGGTCGCAAACGATCAATCAGGTACTCCATGTATGTCCTTCCCCACCCGCCACGCTTCTCCATCGACGACGAGTTTAGCAATCGTTTTACTTCCGTCCGAAAATGAAGCCAGCAACGACGCTCAGTGTAGCGATGAACGAGTAGATTGCAATGTGATTGACAGTCGCAAATTTTTCTTGCACGCGTTCCCGGGCGATAGCATGGCCCAACAAGCTGTTGTTGTACGACTCCAACAGCTGGTACGCAAAATAGTGCGCGCCACGTTCACCCAGATCCTCTGTCAGAACCAAGTAAATAGGGATAGCTCGGAGCGCCGGACTGACGCGGCCCTTATTAAAGCATGCCTTGAGGAAAATGTCCTTCTTTGTGAAGTAGTCGAGGTTCTTCGGGGCCAATCCACCAGTAATGTAGAAGCCACCACGAGGAAGGTACTTGAGCATCGCACAGCCAGCTTCGCGACCGTACGCACTGGCACCAAACACAATATTAGCATCAAATCAGATTCCACCGAGGTCGCCTTCAATGCGCAAATCATTCACACACGTACTCGACGAAAATCTCCATGGCCTGGTTGCATAGTGCGTTCGTCTTGGCGTTGTCGCCTACAATCTTGCCTTGTAAGGACTTGGCAGCTAGGAATGCGTCGTGCACCTTGCTGTCCACTTTCTCCGGGAACTTCTTCGCCAAGAACTTGTAGATCGTAGCGAGCCCTGGACCACTGACAATGCGTTCGACCGAAAAGCGGCGATCGCAGCCCAGTTCTTGCTTTATGGAATTGTAGAGCTCAATCTCAATGGCATCAGCCGGCGCGAAGTCCGTGTGGCCTCCCTCGCAGGCGAAACAAGAGTACTGTCCCTCTTTATCGGCGGTCAGATAGCACTCGCCAAGGCCAGTGCCAGCACCAATCGTCGCAATCGGCATGCCCTCTTCCTTCTTTGCCTCGTTCAGTACAATGTACTCGTGAGGTTTGAGAGTCAAAAGGCCGTAGCCCATAGCAGCAAAGTCATTGATCAACTTGACGGTCGTGATCCCGAGCTCTTTTTCCAGTCCAGGACCGTCAATCTTCCAGCCGTCCTGGATGTTCGTGAACCTACAAGGACGGGTGTACCACACTACTTAGGGACCCCTCTTTACAACAAGGTACACGAAACCCACCCGATGCAACAAAAAGCTAACCATACATAAAACAAAAGAACAACGTACTCGACCGTATTGTTCAAGATCGGGCCGGCACAAGCCAACACACAGGCCACTGGCAAGCGGTCGACCAGACGCGCCTCTTTCATAAAGAGGTGGCAGACCTCGGAGAAGCTGCCGTAGTTCTCATTGTGGTACTTCTTGGCAAACGTGATCTCGCCCGGGGCCACGGACCCTTTGAACGCGACAGAGCCTTTGGGGATGAGCCACAGCGTCAGGCGCGTGTTCGTGCCGCCACAGTCTCCCGAGATGATGAGATCGCCGCTGTGTAGGCAGCAAACGAGCGAGTTGCGTTGTGCAATAGTAAAAAAGAGAGAGAAGAAGAAGAAGAAGTAGGGGGAATGAGTGATCAGACGGGTGGCGGGCACGAGGTCGAGGAACGTTGGGACGTACGACATTTTGGGATGGGAAGAGGAGGGACTGGATGGCGGTTGTCAAAGCTGTGGTAGATTTCACACTGGAGCAGGTGCGTCGGTCAGTCAGTCAGTCAGTGGGGGGGTGGGATCGCGTGCGAACCTGAAATAAGGGCCGTCGTACGTGCAACTTAAGCGGCCTATCGGTTTTCAGGAGTTCGTCGAGAGGAGCCGGTCAACGTGCACCGCGTGTCCGTCTGTCCTCGAGGTCTGACTGGCTGACTGGCTGACGGACGGACTGACTGACTCTGACAGGACAAATCGACGAAACGCCATCATCGCCCGGTGCCACTTGACGATCCCCAACCAACAACGACGGCCGTGATGGGATTTCGCTTTGGCTGGGGCCGTCACGATCGACGATGGACTGCCTTTTCTACCCCTACGTGGAATGAATGCCGCGAGCAAACGCTTGTCCGACGACGCGCGTGCCGTGTCGATCGACACAGGAACGAATGCGACACGACAAATGCCGTAAACAGGATCTGCCCAGGAGGCTGTCCCCTGCACGACATGACACTGAATCGTACACTTTGACTCGGACGGCGTATGGCGAGCACTTCCTTCAGCTTCGACTTGATTGATATGCGCGCACTCCGTTGCATCGTCTGACCGGGTGCGCGCGCCCTGAGCCAAAGTCGTACGATTGGTGTCAAGGAAATGCCTTCGTCGTTAGCGTGTCCGATTCCTAGACGATCGATTGCGTATGACCCGTAATTAGAGAACCACGCAGACACGTTTTGCAATGCAGTACGGGTTATTCGCGACCACATACACTTGAAAAAGGTCAAAGCGCGTAGCTGGACAGCTCGTTCGTCCGTGCTTTCTCGCCGACGCCTTGTCCTGCGACATGGCCCTCTTCTGGTACCATACGTGCCACTCGTTGTGGAAAGTCCCTGGCGTGGAAGTTGTAGCATTGCAGGCAGTCTCAAATCGCATACAAGCTGCTGCTTTCTCCAACTGAGTCTGGCTTGAATGTCAATGTCGAGCTCGATCGCCACGGATGGCATCAACGAAGGCGGTCCGTGTGGCTACTGTTTGCACGGGAGTAGCACACGCTCGAGTCGTCAAGCAAGGATTTGGAAGTGTTTGCTCACAAAAGATGTTTACATCGCTGTCGCCTATCGAGCGTATGTCTTCGTGAGGACGGTGCGTCAGTAGCAGTCACTCCTGAGGCTAAGGTCATTGATCCCGCGCCATGACGCGCCGCTACAAACAGTCGGCACTGTCCACGCTCAGACAGGTACTTTACAATCATTGATAGTGACGCTGTAACTTGTGCTGGTACGACGTAAGGTGCGTGTTAGTTGCCGGTAGAGCAAAAAGGGTAGAGATCAATTGAACCAAAATGACAGCTTAGGATGTCCGTGATGCATAAACTGCGAAGGAAATAATGCCCGATAACGGCGGGGCACGCGATCTGTGGTAAAAGGCTCGAAAGAGACGAGGTGAAAACAGAAGGTGCCGCTTGACGACGAGAGCTTCAAAAGATGGCGGCGCACGTTGTCGGGAAGTGAGAGCTTTGCATGCAGATACGTCTGACGCGAACCGGCTGCACAAAATGGTGTCTACTTGTGCGAAATGCCGGCAGGCTGACTCGTCAGACCAGATGGCAAACTTTTGTTTTCGACTAGATCCTGTACGCTGGAGTTGTCGTCTGCACCCTTGATACACGTATCTGGCGGCTTCCAGCCGGGCGGATTTGTGTCCATCGACTGCTCGCACTTCGAAGCGTCTGATCTGAGGCCTTATGCCCTTGTGCCACGTCATTGCCTTGGCCGGCATCCAAATTGGCACCGCTTCAGCTGTAATCGGTCTTTCGGTAACATATACATCGACTCGGCGCTAGAAATCTGGCGTCGAGACACCTTGCGATCATCTTGCTCAGATAGGTATGATCGCAGCGGTCTACCGGAGTAAAGAACCAGCTACAGTACTACAGAGCGTGCAGCTCAAAATTGCTTCGGCCACACTTCGTCATTTGTGCTTGCAAATCAAACGAGCAAACTTGTTATGATCCGGATAACATGACCTTGACGTCTACAAGTATTCAGTAAGCTGACACAACGACAAGAGCTCAGCTTTACGCTGGCGTACCACCGCATTAGCAGCGCCGAGACTGACTTGACACTGTCGACCTTTCATTATCAGCCAAGGCTAACTATCACAGGCCACTTGATCATATTGACATTTGTCTCGACACCGGACTTAGTTCACACGATATAGCGCACGTTTCCGGAAGCTTTCGAGCAGCACAAATGCGGCATATGCGGCCGTGTATCTCGTAGGTGGGTACACCATGCATGCTACTTTACATACAATAATCTGATCTCGCTTGTAATCGCAACGGAATCGTTTCGAGCATATAGTAGCAACGCGATAAGGTGCGCGCTGGTGAGTTGTCAAATTGGGCATTCACCGACTTCGTTCTATGGCCGCTAAGGTGTGAGTCATAAGCTTACAGCCAGACTGGGTAATATGACTATCGGTCGAGCTCCTATCAGAGTTTGCCTCGTTGTCTGTAGCTCGTCGAGTGCGTACTAAACAGTATCGTCGTGATGGACATGTTCGCTCGGGCAGGAAATCACACAAACCACCCGTCAAGAGCAGATTGGGTGCTGTGCGTGTCGAATGTCAAGGGGAACTATGTATGCAACCCAGTAACCTCCTTGATTTGTATCAAGTAGAAAGCACGTGAGAGTGGATCCTTTCGGAGACCCTTGTGAACATTTATGCAACGAGTGCCGTACTTTCACTCGGTCCACAGATTTTTCGTCTCCTTCTGTCCTTTGAGCCTCTTCCGGACATCTCATCGTCGTTTGACTGCGGCTGAGCCCTTCCATCCTCTTGGTGAGATCGATAGGCTCTGAAATCGACAGAGGTTTCTGAGCACGTAGCCATCTGAGCTCCGTTTCTAGCTCCTGCTCCAGATTAATGTACTCCGCCTTTTCAATCTCGATCGAGTTATCTTCGCTCCTCTACATCCCTATAGTAGCTACTGCGACGCGCTATTCCTTGTCACAATAACTCCGCGTGGTGGAGGAGACTGAGAATGCGGGCGTGGCGATCTTCGTCTAGGCAGACACCGACCATGCAGATGCTGAGCGATGATAGCCTCACTTGAATGTCGAGGTGATGTCGGTATCTTTGTTTGGATCTCAGCGGCCTTAAATGGCAAAAGAGGCCAAGGAATCGGAAGTTGGCACGTTTCAGGTCACCCGTGATATGCAGCAGAGCCATGTCATTTATATGGAAACACTATCGAGCAACTGTATATGTGCAGCTTCCGCCAAAGTGTGACCACATGGCATAGTCCCTGCACATCGTAAACACCAAGCAAGCACACACGCAATCCTTCATTTACGACTCATTTGGTCATACAACGTCTAAAGAGAATTGCGCTTGGTGCAACGTGTGGGTAAAGTCTATTTTGCACATCGATACTTTCACATTCACTACTGCTTCCATGTCTACACCGGTCCAGATATGTCCATCCTTCCTGCTACCAGCTCTCATCATTTGGTCCACAACGATGACGTATCGAAGTGACGTTATGGGTCACTCGAGTCTCAGCAAAAGATACACAGGTAAATGTTGGGGGCTAAGAGTATGTATTTTGTAAAAGTTGTGGCCGCATGTAGTGCTACAAAAGAAAGCAAATCGACATTCCGCTAAACAATGCGGACACTCATTTGTCCTTCGTGGGAACAGCGCTGACAGAGAACTGCACAAGACGTTCATGTGGCTAAAGTTCATCGCGAGCGCATACTCCTTCAGCATGTGCTCGCGGTTCCCAATGATGATGTCATCAGCGATTTCTACGCGTGTGATAATACAAGGTTGGCAATCCTGGGTCAACACGCCGCTCATCACCTGCGTTTCATGTCGTAGAGGCGGCTGCGAGAATCTGTGCCTTGTCGTAGCTGATGGCGATGTGTCCAGCCAGAGTATATTGCTACGTAGATGCTACATTGTCACTCATCTTCATTTTGACGCAGTAGAGAAGTGGATCTGCAAGATAGACAATCTGACCACCACGTTGCAACAATGCCAAGCACTTGTGGCGCTACTTCTTTCGTCAAAGCGCACTTTTTTGTACGATCGTCGTATTGACAGACATCCCACCAAGGTGCTGTAACGGGGCACACCCTTGCGTGAACTTAGCGCAAGGGTTTTGGGTGCCCCGACAGACGTACACGAGGCGAACGAGGAAGCGTAGGATAAGGAGAAAGTAAAACTGTTGTATTAATATAATTAAGTCTTTTAACTACTGTCTCTCTGTTTGACTTAACTCAATTATGCTAATGTAACTGAGTGTATGGTGACGTCTCGTCACCACTCATTGCGCGCGTCTTGCGGCGATTGGTGGGTTGATATCATCAAGATATCAACCAATGAATAGACTCTTGGTCGACCCTTCAATATCACCACTTTGGTGATATTATTCAAAGAATATTCAATTAATATTCTTTATTGTCACTTTCCTTAAAGTGACAATTTCCATGTAACGGGCTGCCCCGTTACATCACCCCCCTTAACTGATAGTCACCGTGTGACTATCGAAAAATATGGCGGCCACCCGTTGGTCACCATTGGGACAGGGAGCACTTGTTGGGTCCGTTCCATTCACTTTCTGCTTGACCTCGCATAGTTAACATGTCTATGCGAGGTGACTCAAGACCCGCACAGCCCGGTGCTGTGCCAGCCTCTGCGGCAGACGATTCGTCGTCTGCTGCTCTTTCTTCGCCTGCAGCAACAGGTGCTGCAGGTGCACGCGGCACCTCACAGCGTGCGCATGATGACCCTGACGTTGAGGTCATCTATTCTGGTGAGTCAGACGTGTCTGACTCGGGCAATGCTCCAGAGGCGTCTCGCTCACCGGCGACGCCTCAGTATTCGCCAAGGCCACTGCCGAACGAACGGACTCGTGATTTGCATCACATTCTGTTCGGCAGTGATGACGATGATCAGGGTGGTGAGGAATA